TACCCCAGACTCTGGAAAAAAAACAGGAGAGAAAAAAGCCTCCCCATGGAAACACAATTATCTCTAACAAAAATTTCAAAATCAAGCTAGGTATTTTCCTAAGGGAACCCATCTTATGGTAACTTAAAAGTCTTCAGATTTTCATCTATTCCCACCCCTTCCCAATCCTTTTGTGGTTATGACAGGAAAAACAGCATTTCCAGTGGACAAAACAAAAACAAAAACAAAAAAAACCCCCAAAACCTATATAAAGGTATGACTTTGAGAACTCCATGGAAGAACTACTTCTTTCAAGTTGAAATGACAGGATCAGCCACTCTTAAGCTAAAAATGTAATCATTCCTGTTACTTTATGAGAAAATATGAATGTACTTCATAATTCATTCACGTACCAAAGATAACTACTACCATTTTACAAACTACAAAGAGGGCTCTAGGGCAACCAAGAGACTAAACTCTTCAGAAAGTCAATCATTTTTAAAAATACATGTGTGTGTATATGCATCAACACATGCATGCATATAATACTATGTATTCATAAGTAAATTATGAAAAAGGAAGAACATATAATTGTGCTATTCGCATGTACTTTTTTTTTTTTTTTTGACTTAAGCAGCTTTATCCTGACAGCTCCACAGTAGAAGTCTTGAAGACATAAACACCTTTATGCTTGGAGTTGCACAGAGAACTGATTAGTAGCACACCAAGCAATTATTTTAAGGTTTAATAAGGAAACAAGAGAAAAAGCAACAGAAAAAAAGGAGGAAAAGAAGAAAACCTCAAACATATGTAAAGCACAGATCAATCAATGCAGTAAAAGTAGAACTCAAGATGTGAAAATGCAAATATACTTACAAACTTCAAGCTTCAGGATAGAATTTACTCAAAAGTTGTCAATTTTCTTTAACAATATACGTAAAATTGTTAATTCTCTATTGTCTAAAATGCTTCAGCTACAGTAACTATGTTAGCAAATCAGCACATTAACTCCTAACATAAAAACACAGATCCTCCTGTGGGTATCTTACTCCCTCTGAGCCTGAATGAAGAAGCAATGCCAGGGTTATGTCGTTCCTACCTCTGACATATAAATTGGCAGGGGCAGAATAGCGAGTGCCCGCGCTGTTGGTGGCAACACACTCATATTTTCCTTGGTCAGATTCTTCACTCTGTTCGATCTGAAGGGCGCCTGTATGGATATAAAATATATTGCCAAAGAGATGGTCAGAGAGAGTTTTCTCAGTTCAGAAAGCTAAACCTCTTAACAATATGAAAAGCCCCGCAAAGCGAAGGTCCGCTCAACGACGATTCAATCTCTTGCTAAGGTGCACAGACAGAAATGATGCGATGAGAAAAACATATAGAGATTATTTTTATTTTTACATCATCAAGGCTAGCATAAGAAAACAATAGCTCTTTTCCCAAGCAAGACTTCTAGTCATAATGAACACTCTTATTTCCTAGACTAATAAAATGAAGATGGGTGAGACTGCTTCAAGGAAGTATGGCTTTTAAATAAAACAAAAGATTAATTGTTTTGATTTTTGTTTTGTTTTGTTTCATTTTGGTATCAAAAGTGGCGCAAAAGATAGGTATGCTCAAAAAAAACCAGGCCGGGTTTTCAAGAAAGTCTTCCTCTGAAGAGAGCCAAAAATACGCAGCGAGTACAAAAAGGCTGCACAAAGCAAAAAAGTGAAAATTAGTCATTATATGTTATGAAAATATTACTGAAAGAACCAAAACTCCCTTAAGACATGCAGATTTTTAAGAAAAGAAAGACAGTTTGCCACGACTTACAATCATTTATTACATTTGCTGAAAAACAAAGAGCAATTGAATTAGAAGGTTTTAAAAAAGTTAAAAAGCACGGCCTACGCCAGCAAGGAAGAGCCAACCAACCACTGCTTGAGGACCTTGAGTCGGATCCCCTAAGACACCCATCAAAATCCACCAGTGGGATTAGCAGTGTGGTGTCATAAAACCCCAAGAAAAATACAAAACAAGAATTATAAAAGTAATGAACATTTGAGTCAAAGTCTGAAAAAGCAGCAATAGCACACACCACCAAGAACACTGAGCACCTTTGGTTTCCAGAGCCTGAAGAACAGAAGATCCAAAAATTCCAGAGGCGAGTAATCCAAGAAAAAAAGAAGTGGGGAGGGGGAAAAAGCATTGCTGTCAGGTTGTAGGCGAGTGGATTCAGGTGGAAAGGGGAGTCATTTCTTTGACTTTTAAGACATTAAGAGAAAAAAGAATTGAAGACCAAAAGCAAAAACCTTTTGAAAGATAAAGACAAAAAGTGATGGTCCGGGCTGTCCTCTGCATGTCTGCCACTGTTCTCCAGACCATCTTGGCTTTGGTCCAGAACAAGAACAGCTAAGGAAGAAAAAAATGATCTTTTTTTTTTCTCCAGTTGGACAAAAAAAAAAGGAAAAAGAAGAAAAAAATAAAAAAAGGAAAAAGGAAGAAAAAGAAAGGAAAAAAAGAGGGACAGATGGTACGCTGTGACTGGTCTGTGGTCTAGAGACCTGGATATGCTTTCTTTGAAGCATATCACAACTTAAAGTATCATTTTCAAAAAGAAAGAAATGAACAAAACAAAGAGAAAAGTAAAAGGAAAGGAAAATTCACAATATGTGAGTCACTGATCATAACCAAACGGTACAAAGGGAAAAACTCAAGTTGATGGACATTATTGGAATGGTTTGAAAACAGGACAAAGATGAGAGTGATGAGAGGACAGAAAGAATGAGTAAGATCATTCTGTGAACGTTAGTTCAGCACTCTTACCTCTTATTGGTGTACCACCTGGGTGGATAATATGAATGCAAATAAGATTAGAAAGAAGAAGCATTAGTACGAGAAGAAGGAGGCTAGGGCTGGGGAGAAGAATTAAATTAGATTTACAGAATTAAATAAGGTCTTAAAAGAAACTTGAATTACTCTACTGGTAAAACAGGAATATATTAGATAGTATTAATAGATCATAAAAGCAAGTTGCATTATACCGCAGAGGGTAAAGACCACAATAGGCAGCATTGCCTTTCTCAGAGAAAGCAACTGAGTTCTTAGGTCTGGGGTCATATAGGGTTAGAAATGTATCGTATATGCCTCACAGTCTTAAAAAAAAAAAAAAACAATATTTTTAAAGACATAGTTTAGGAAAAATACTGGCTAATCTATTTAAGTATATATATAGATATGCATATATATATACTATTATAAGAGATACTAAAGAGTAACTAGAAACAAACACTGTTGACTGTATATCTTAGGCTAGTCACTATGCTACATTTGTGAAATAGAACTTGTGGACTAGTTTACTTTTCTACACAGTGTTCTTACGATAACAATTCTGTGGATGTGTGCATGATGTGCGCGCCACTACAGAGATCTGGTGTCTACTACACTGACAGTTAGTAAAATGCATGCCATGCATTTTATTAATAATAATAATAATAATAATAATAATATTCTGAATATGGAAATTAGTGGGGGGGTGAAGTGCGCTTCAGAACTAAGCACTTACCAATGGATTCTGGAGATTTAAATACGGAGAGAAGAAAGACAGCATAAAAATATTATTATATTCCTTATAATTTGGTACAAATTTTTCAGAGTTAAAGCTTTATATACTAAATCATCTATGTTACATGTGAATCATTAATTCTTTATTTACAATAACAGAATGCTAATCTATACAATTCTGCTGACAACAAGCAAAAGAGGCAGTTAACAAGACGCTTTAACATCACAGGACAGGTCAAAAGCTGAGAATTCTGGGAAGACAGGCAGCTAAAAAACTTAGAATTCTATATCAATATTACTATCAATGTCAAAGCAAACAGCTTATTAGCATATGTCCCTGTGAAATTACCTAGGGACAGACTTAAACTTCAGAAATTTAGAATTATCTCTATTTTTAATCTAACGAGAGCAAAGGAATAAACTTGGGGTGGGGATGGGAGAGGGAGATAAGGGGCAACGCAGGGAGAGGTGGGAGGTTAAGAGGAGAAAGAGGAAGAGAGAGAGAGAGAGAGAAAGAGCAGTAAAAGCTGGAGTCTACGCCAAAAGCAGACTTCTGTAGATCCAGTCACTGAAGGGTCAAAGTTCTTTAGTGTGGGCACACACTACAGGTGGCTCGTGTTTAGAAAATGCTCACTCACAGCCATACTACTAATGAAAGTACTCTTCTTTCTTTGATATTTGTAACAGACTTTAATCAATGTATCTGGTTACTCATGACATAACATTTCTGTGTTTTATGTATTAGTGAAAAGAAAGCAGATGTGACCAAACTTACTAAACTTTGGTATTTTGATGAGTTCAAATGTAGAAAAGACAGAGAAAACACACTTTAATAAAATTGACTCATTTCAGTGTTTCATAGGAACATTTTGGTTTTTAATGGAGAGAGGCATTGGAACTCCTCACAGGTTCTGAATGAAGTCCAATGTTGAAATAAATTTGTTTTGAAAGAAAACAGAGAAAGAAGAAAGAAAGAGAAGATGGATCCATCAAATACTGCAGGAAAGCAGTAAATTAAAAAAATTATCAAAAATACAGTCACAGCAGTGAGCAATGTGGATTAAACAGAAGCTGCAAACACAGAGAGAAGGAGAAAGACAGACTCTGAAACAGGCTATGACATCACAGACATGGACAACACATTAAATAACAGAGAAAGAGAAGAGGGAGAAAAATCAATACCTAAAAGTAAAAAATAAATAAAATTAAAATAATAATAATAGAGAGAGAAAGCAAAAAAAAAAATTATCTAGTTGTTATTGGAAACAGTAACAAGACCCTACCTGATCGCAGCTGCTTAATACGGCCATTGTTGTTGCTTGTGTCAACAGGTAAGAAATCTTTAAACCAAGTGATTTCTGGGTCTGGATTCCCACTGGCTGCACAAAGCATGGTGGCTGTGCGTGTACGCTCAACCACCTTCAACTGTGGGCCCATGTCAATGGTAGGGAAGCCCCTGGGAATTTGATCCTCTGGAAGACAAAAAGTAAAACAAACATGTTAACAAGTCAGATGACCTTGACTAAAAGATGTCATCCATTAATCTTGCTCCTTACCTTCATTAGCATCTGCTGCCAAGCAGACACACACTTGGTCACACTGCACCACTGACTAAGATACAGACGCTTTAAGGAAGAGGCCAACTGCCTAACAAACGGCTGAGACATGGGTGATAAAGACCATGAGGAAGGGATGGATTGAGTTCTCTGGGAGCACAGAAGGAGAAGTAATTATATCTTGACATCCAGCTGGGCCTGTATTAATTTATTCAACACTCTCGTGAGCTCTGATATTCTTAAACCCCTATTCCAAAATAACTCAAAAGCACAAATACCAGAGAGCAAAACATTAGAAATCATCAGATGTGGCACTGACCTTCTTCTTAACAGTTTCTTGTTGAAATCTAAGTGAGGTACAATTTCTAGGGAAAACGCTCCACTTTGATGCCTCCACTGTGCTGTCAATCAAACCTTTGTGTTCACCACCATATCTGGTCAACAGTCTGGGGTAATAAGCATAATCCCCAAAACTGTGCTGTAAGGTCCATTTTAATTAGATCCCATTTCTTTAGCTTCTCATGGGTGACGTCCTCTATAGGGAATGTTTTCTGCCCACACTGATATTCTCACCATTGAGCAGACAAATCATGCTAAATCCTCTGAGCCTAAAATACTCTCTTGGTAAAGCTTTTCAAAGCCCTACCAAACATACTTAACCTTTCCCTCCATGCAGCAATGAGGGCCTAAATTCATTTCTTGGACTCATTATCATCAGCTTATTCCATTCTACAATGGGTTCCTCCATGTCTCATTTGTACCCAAATTTCTTGCAATCCAACTGGTCGGGATCATGAGATAGTAAGGGAAACTCCAATGATCCCCTAGCCGAAGTATGAACATATTCCACCGATTAAAAAGAAGCGATGGTGCACAGGTGCATTGGGTGAAGGAAACTATGGGGACTACACCTAAGGGTGGGGGGAAGCAAATATTGTTTAAAAATGAATACTGATGTAAAAAAATTAAAAAAAAATAAAATAAAATATCACCAAAAAAAAGCTTTCAAACTTTGCATAAGAGAAAATCACTTCTGGTACAGAGTTGATCAAAGGAAGAATTAAGAACTGGAGAAATTTTGAATGAGAATTTTAAAAGAATGTCAAAATACCAAAGAATAAAGAATAAAGAATAAAGAATAAAGAATAAAGCTGACAAGAAAGGGAAGTTTCCCTGAACAAGTTCAGGTGATTTTAAGTGAAAAGTATAGCCTCTGGTTCACCCATTAAGTAAAAAAGTCATAAAAAATAGTTAACATCAATCAGTTACAGTTTCATTATGTTCAAAGACATAGCTCTTTGCAGGAAGCATCAGTCCATTTGTTGATAGGAATGTGTCCCCAACATCAGTCAAGCTGGGGTACACAATGGACAACTGTCAGAAATAGTTGGTTTTTTTTTTTTTTTGGTTATGTGTGGGTTCATTTATTATTTTTTTCGATTTTTTAATTTTATATTTTTTTACATCATTTTTCATTTTTGCACAATGTATGCATTTTCATCTTGGTTATAGTTCCCATACCAAAAAAAAAAAAATAGTTCTTAAGGATGGAATTTCAGGATGATTTTTCAGGGCTTCAAGGGGAAGTTAAACCTTGCTAGTGATACAAGTAATATTTTGCAAATTAGGTTATGCCAATCTTAATAATCTATTTCACTTAAATTTCATGAGGCTATCCTTTTTGACTTTAAAACTTCTGTCAATCTATTTGTACATATAGTGTAGTTGTAATATTTTGGGGTGGGGGAAAAGTAGAAAGATCAATAGCCTTTGTACCAGATATATTATTATATATTGTACCAGATATATTATCTTACTTGGCAGCTATAGACACAAATTGCTTGAAAGATAAAAATAAAAATTACCTCAAGTACTCCAAAGTCAACACCACCACTTTAGTCACTTATAAATGAGTTTTCTTTTTATTTTCCATTTTTAAAGTAACCAAGTTATGTTAATGAAAAATCACCTTGGGATTCCTTAGCTATTTTTGTATTTCCCCCATAGTGTTTAACATTGCTCTGCTAGTGATTACTTTTCTTCCACAAGTTCACCTCTCTGAAGAATCAACCCAATATGAAGTACCGAGCAGAGATGAGTGTTGAAGGTTTAATATTGGTGAGCTACTTTCTATAGGATCTTACCAAGAAATCAAGAATGAATAACCATTTGTAAGAAATGAAGTCCTCACCATGGGGAGAGCTGACAAAAATGACTTGTGCTCTACCTAAAACAGTCTAATACATTTGCATGACCTTTCTTTTCCTTCTTGGTTCATAAAGAATACTCCAGAGCCTCCTTTTCACATTCACAAATGTACAACAAAGATCATCTTTCTTGCATACTAATCAGACACAGAATGTAAAGAGAGCTCCTGTCTTATTTTTAATAAGAGTAATTAAATTCTATCCATTCCCCCCTCTTTGCACAGAATCTCTCTGAATGCACTTTCTTCATTAAATTTTCATGAGAAACATCACAATGTAACAGATTCGAATAGCCAGAGCTGTTACACGTTGACAGTTGTGGCTTGTTTCCAATTTGATTGTCAGGTATTTGGCAATAAAACTCAGTATTCAACATAAAACGAACTGTGGAAATAATGAAATTTCTAATTGGAATGCTTATCTCAGTGGGCATAGTTTAAAAGATGTTAATTGCTTTTTTTCCTACCTTTTATATTTATTAGTGATTTATATAATACTGCCTTGGTCATTTGATAACATCAATTTTGACAGCTCATGAAATGTGTTACCAGAAACTCAGGAACTTGTGGGGTGGGGGTGATAATCAATACCTTTTACACCTTAACCACATAAACTTTTATGGTAAAAAAGCAGCTATCAAAATGAACAAATTATTGGTATGTTAGTAACTTTAAACCTTTACATGAGGTGAAAAGAAAAACATTTTGTCCTATTCATTAATGTGCTCATTAAGCTTTAAAGTGCCTTACTTATCACTGTTCCATATTAATATTCAATCATGCAGAATTAGCTACTAATTCATCAACAATTTAAATCAGACTTGACCTTCACAAAGCCATTTGGTCTGTCATTTTGAGAGGCCATTAAAGGGCAGATTACTACATACTTGTGCTTAGTGAATCGTAGAAGTCATACATATTTTGTTTGGAATGGCAGCTATAATAGACCTGGAAATATAGCACATTTTTTGAATCTGTTTGGTGTCTTAATGAAATATGCTGATACGAAACTTTCAGTTCCATTAAGGAAAGAAAAAAAAAAAAAAAAGGACTGTCAGCAATTTCCAGAGTTAACTTCCTACTGCTATGGAATTGTTAATAATTCCTGACTTAATCAGGACTTGAAAGGGATATATGAGAAAATCTAACATTGTTTTGTAGGGAATGATGCTTTAGATATATCTGTGAATGATCAAGTAATAGCTTTTCCATAATTTCTTCAGTTAAAGTACTTTTGTTGCCTATCTACATTAAACAATTTTAATGTTGCTTTTACTTTCGCTCCAATTCCATAAACACTGAACCTCTCCCATATGATGGGAAACCAAGCAACAAAATCACCTGCTCTTGCCAGAGCCCCCTTCCAATGTGTCCACATACATTTCTTTTTACCTAATTTTGCTAGCACTCTTTCTAAGTGAATTCAACCAGTCTGTTCCTTTGACTCTAATCCCAAATAATTTAAAGACATTTTCAAAGAAGGACTATTAGCCATGTTGCTACCTTCTCAATATTTCAAATCTACAGTAAATATTTATGAGGAAAAATCGCATCAATTACATCAACAGTATGCTATCTCAAATGCAGTATTAAGATTTTGGTAAATAAATCTCATCATTTAGGGAATATTGGTAATATAGAGATTTTCATGACAATAGTAGTGCAAAAAAGCAAAATCAGAATCTCAAAGAAGAGATGTATAAGACTTTCTTTTTGGGAGAACTCATCCCCTGAATCACTCTTGTTAAATAGCACCTAGTGATTCCTCTTTAAAAGTCCCCAACTGATGTTATCAATAGAGCCCTTATTATAGTGCATATGTTAAGTCTGAACTAATAAGCCCATGGAAGGTAGCAGTTATATATTATTATTATTTTTTTAAAGATTTATTTATTTCTTTATACAAGATTGATTGATTTATACAAGTACTGGGTACAGTCAGAAGCGTGGGAGAGTGAGAGAATTCACCAGAGCGGGGAGCAGAGCAGGCAGAAGGACCAAAATACACTGCTGAGGGGAGCAGCGGGTGGCAGGAGAGGTCTGCGCGCCATGCGGGACCCTCCCCCAGTGTCCGGGGAGCAGCCTGGGATAGAACCAGCGCTGCAGAGGCAGTGGGCAGCTTCGCAACCTGGCGCTCAACTGCTGTGCCACCGGGAAGGACCAGGAGTTATATATTATTTCCTTTTAAACCATCACAGAGTTCAATAAACATCTGTAATTAGACATGTTTAGGAAATAGACAACCCTTTCATCACTCACTCATGTGGCATCTTGAATTCCTGCTGGGTTTAATGATACTCATTTAAATAGTTAATTATTCTTTAATTGCTTTGTGGATATATATTTGCCTCCCCAGTTTGAATATAAGTCTATCAAGACATAACCTCTTTCTAGTTTTAACAGTATCTTAAGTAGTATTAGACTCAAAGAATCACAAAAATAGAGTTACAGGCTCACAAAAACAAGTATCAATGACTTGATAAAATTTTTAGTCTAATTGTAGCAAAGATTTCTCAGGCTCTGGATATCTTAATGTTCTAGGGCATTCACAATATAATCTTACCCAACATCCCTTTATTTTTGGAAGAAAGAATTGAATGGGGGTAGTTTTCATTAACATAAGAAAACAAGTAAAAAGTCAGAGGAATAATATAAAGAATGTTTTCATAAATGAAAATGTTACTCCCTTTAAATATACTGAAAATATCTT